TATAACCTCTTTGTCTTTTAAGCGTTTTTCTTCCTCTTTCAGGGTATCAGAGCTTCAAAGACAGAAAGAAAAACACCAAGATCTATAATACTATAACACTCTTAAATTCTCGTGAGTCTTTGGCATGAGCTTTTTATTTCAAGGTTACTAAAGTGTCTTTGAAGCAAGTGGTTTTCCCTGCTGAGATTTAACAATAAAAAATAAATAAATATATAAAACTGATGCAAGTAGAATCAAAAGTTTCAGGAAAGCTCTCATAATACAAGGAGAAATGAAAAATTATTTTCCACAATGGACAGAACAGTTGGCTATTATGAAAATTATTGAAACATATAATTTGTTTCTGTCTGAAAGTTGGCTGCATTGAATATTCCCTATGTCCAAAATCTCTAAATGTGAAAATTTGCCACGACCGTCTTTAAAGTACATCATCTCTGAAAATAATTTACTTGAACAATTTTGCTTATAAGCAAATATTTTAGTTTTACTATGTATAGTCAAAACTCCTTTTGAATACTACACAAAAAAATAATCGTAACAGGATTACTGATAGGCATTGAAAACTAGGAAAGCACAAACTTAATTCAAGAAGTTAAAAGAAAACCTACTGGAATTCAAAACTAGTTTTTAAATGGACAATTTGGGCCATATCTAGAAAAACAAGCGCAGATTTGCTCTGTTCTCTATGTTGTTTGAGAGAAAGACTCAGAGATTATCTTTGATAGAAAAGAACTATTTCGCAACAGAAGGAAGTTATAACGCAATGAACACAAACTCCAAATAAACTATACAGGAAAGTGATTTCCTTCTCACTGGAGTAACCTCTTTCCAAGCAAGAGTGGCCTTCTTTGGTTTAGTATAAATTTCAAAGTAACAAACTCAATTAAAGTTACCTGTATTCCAGAATAAAAGTTCCTGCAGAGAGTAATAGCTGCGTCTGCTTAAATTCACACTCTTGCTCCACTACGATTTTTCGGAACAAAAGGTCCTGAGATGCAGATTCATTATGATCAGGGTCTGCGTAACGCTTGCTCATATTGCATATATAGAAAGACTGTACCCCAACATGTGCCAACAAGTTTAAATCTAGCCATCTGTATCTACTGATAAATATGTATAATTTAATAAAAAACAGAGTTATTACAAGCTCTTTATCACTAATAGCTTTCCAAGAAGTTCTGAGGTCAGTCTCTTTTCACACACTCTATTTCCAGAAGTACATGACAAAAAAGTTGTCATATAGATTCTAATCCCTTTTAACGCTGGTAAAATATGGAGAACAGAAGCAGCATTAGATGAAAGCTTAACTCTCTTTAGAGGTGAATCAGAAGATACTCAGCATGCCACAGGTTAGCCTTTGATTAATATTTGGAAATAATTTAAAAATTGGAAGGGATTTTTTTTTTTAAATGAACATTTTGAAATGGTAGAAGTTGACTTCAGAGAGTTCTGTTACTCAAACTCGTTTCATAGGAAAAAGGAATTAAAACTAAGACTCAAACACTTTGCTCTCCATTTTGTAAGCGTGGTTCTAAACGAATAACAACAAGGCTGAATGTTTATGATTTCTTAACACACATTCATTATAAATATGTTTAGTCAATTAGCACTGTATTTCACAGACTGCAGTTGCAGGGTTGGCAAACTGAAGATTGAGCTTGGTTCACTGACAAAAACACCATTTCACGCATTGTCAGTTTACTGGTTCTATAAAAGCAATCAAGCCGGGTTCTCCTTTGTACACCCCATCAGAGCCTGTGCAAAGCTAATGGACTGATGTTGCTAAACGAGGTTTCCCACGTGCAAAGAAATAGAAATCCCGTTTGTTCTTCCAACTGACATCAGCCCTACACATCTAACAAGTAATAATCAAACACTCAGATTGTACTCATTTAAAAAAACAAACAAACAACTTTAAGGTTAAGCATCTCAGTGACAGAACTCTAAATATTTATTTCAAACATCCCCAAAACATGGCATTATTATCTGATGCCTGCACAACTCTAGCAGAGCAAAACTTCACATTTTCCTAGCAGAGGATATGAATCCCTAATAGCTTTCTTTTGGGCACGCTGTATCACCTTGCGGAAGTAATGCATAAACTTTGGCTAAATCTCTACAATCTCTAACCTTCAACCATCTCCTTCCTTTCAGGCACCCATTCTAGATGCTCAGATAGAGCCACAAAGCGTCACACTGTGACAGCAGACAACTGGCAATAGTTAACTGGGAAGACAGGAGTTCAGCCCCTTCGAAAACCTTAAAAAAAGAGTTCTCTCTACCAAGATAACAAACATCTGGCTTAAAATAGGCAGGTATTATAGTAAGAATCTGTAAACATTAACAACTTAAGCACAGACTTATTGCACAGCTTCTTAAACGTGACACACAGCCCTCAAAACCCTACACTGAACATTTGCCACCTGGGAAAGCTTTCTCCCTCATTTACTAATGAAACTGGTGCAGTGATTTAGGCAGCTGAATAAGCGTTGTGCTTTCTTTGCAGTTCTTACTGTTGCCCACACTGCTAACATCAAGCACCTAAACACATGCCACAGCTTGTGACTGTGAGAAACATTCGATGATCAAGTGTTGATTTAACTTACTTCATTGATCCAAAGAGCAACATGCAGATTTTAAGATTTTGGTGAATGAAGGTGCTAGAAAAAAAAAAATCATTCGAGATTATCAGTTCCTGCTAGTTATTAGCACATTAATAGTCGTAAAACCATCTGAAAGTATATGTACTCCTCAAAAGAGAAAGAATAATTTCCAGTTTACAGGCAATGAAACTAAAAGACAAGAGTTAAAGAAAACACTAAAGCTACAAAGTGACTCTAGTAAAGGATCAGCAAAAAGCCCTTTAGTTCCTGGCTCTCCACCAGTTCTCAGCCAGTAAAACTGAACGCCTGTAAAAATAGCAGATGTCTATTCCAAACTCTGTGCAAAGCACTCGCCCTACAAGAGACAAGTTGAAAAACAATTCACAAATATAGATTGTTAAAGCAGACTTTCAATGCATACTGAGTTAACCACTCACAAAGTGAGCAGAACTTCCATTCAGAAGACTGAATTATTAGAACAGCTCTTGATACCTGAGCACTTGCTTGGATCATAGAAAATTTAAACAAAATTAAAAACCGGGAGGGGGG